TTTACTATTGAGCCACAATTATTTTCAAATGTTATTTCTGGGCATCTTATTCAATATTTTGAAAGATGTTTTTTCTTGGTACTAAAATATAAATAATATGCAAATATGTTTTTCTTAAACATTTTGTTTGTATTTTTCAAATTCAGAAATTGAAAAAGGAGGTTGTGGAGACCCAGGAATTCCATCATATGGAAAAAGGACTGGAAACAGTTTTCTGCATGGAGACACACTTACCTTTGAATGCCAAGCGGCTTTTGAACTAGTGGGCGAGAGAACAATTACATGCCAACAAAATAACCAGTGGTCTGGCAACAAACCCAGCTGTGTTTGTAAGAACTGCTTTATTTATTTCTTTTTTTCTGTCTGCTAATTTCTTGACCTCAGACTGTTCCTTCTCTTGGCACTTGCAACTAACCAGCAGGAAAACATTTCAAAAGGCCTTGAAGACTTGCTCAGTGATAATAACTCTTTTAGATGATGTAGTAGTAGCTAATTTACAGGGAACACCATGTAAGGCCATTTTAGAATGTTCTTTTTTCCTCATTTTGTATTTAATTGAAACATTTAATACTTTCAATGTAAATGTTTATTGAATAAAACTCCAAGAGCTGTGTAATAGCATATAAGTAGTCAATAGGACTTTGGAGCATGTATCTAGTTATACTACCAGTATATAATACTCTGCATATCCACATCAGTAAAGTCTTATTTTTTAAAACTTAATAAAGTTGTATAAAGAATATAAGCATTATAAAGGTATCCAGCAGTGAAGCATGATAGTTAAGATCTGTAGATGTTATTTCTTTTTGACAAGTAAAAAATATTTACAGTGAAGCTTCTGATTTGGATAGGTTTGAATAATGACCTGTTTATTAAAGTTCTGAAGTAAAACAGTAAATATTTTTCAGTGGGCAAGTAACCTATATCTTTTTTCTGTGTTCAGCACTTTTAGATAAACATAAATATATAACTGTTTTGCAGCTTTACAAGAACAGCAAGTACCTGTTTGTTTTGCCTGCCCACCCTTAGTTATTGTACTGGCTTAGTTATCTTCCTGTATATCAATAATTTATATTGGTGTGAACATAGGTAAACTGATATAATTGAACTCACACTGATGGGCAGGATCACTTTAATTATCCCAGTATATATATGTCTTTAAAGTGGTAGAACCTTTATAGACAAGTCTAAGTCCCATTATCTCTGTTTCCAAATTCTGCACACAATTCTGACTCAGAATATTAGTGGAAGCTTTGCCCATGTTCACAGCGAATTGTTTCCCTTCCTTGAAACTATCATTACGGCTGTTCAAATAAATAAGGAGAAAGAGAGAGAGAGAGTGTGTGTATAAATAAAACATAAAAGAAAGGGTTTAGATGTACTTGATCAATTTATCAGAAAGAAAATAAATTTAAAAATAAAGATTTAATGAAATGTATGGTCTTGGATGCTTTTAATAGAACAAAGGAAATGGAGGGCAAGATGTACTCCATTACCCCTTTTACCTAATAATCTAGAGGTTAGACCACTCAGCCAGGAGGTGGAAGACTGATTTAATTCCTTTTCACCTGAGTTGATTTCACATATTCCACTTCCTAGCTAATTACCCTAGCCCATGCTATAACATGTTTATGAAAGGGACAAGCTGCTCTCTCAGACTCTCCTGTTGATGTCATTTTGCTGTACACAAGATACCTAAAACTTATTTGAGACACAGGGAGAGAGACATAGTGATGCAGAATAACTCTATAGCCATTTTGGTTAAGGCATTCATTGAAATTTTGAAGCACATTTGAGCTCCATTTTTTATGAAAATTTAAATATTTGATATAAGACTCCCATTCCTATATATGCTATAGCATATACAAGTAATGCACATATGGTGAGTGTGTCCTTCTGGTAGGAATGCATTTAAGTAATCCCAGGTTTTTATAAGGATTCCAATCTGTCTCTCATCCACAGTGAACTGTACAGTTAAAACTATAGAGCCAAAAGGGAAGCCGCTGCTCTTTCTTTGACAGTTTTTGGAATTTATGGCTCCTTCTCCTAATTAATTTTTCTTTCAGTTTAAACCATTCTGGGAATTCAGCCCAAGCAAGGAAGTAGTTTCAGGATGACCAAATTCAAAATTTACGAATGAACAAAATGATTGACTAAAAGAAACCATTGACCATTTCAACTGCAATGTACTGGTATCTGGAAGTTTGTGAAAAAAAATTGCACTGCTGTCAAAAGGCCAGCAAAATTAATTAAATAATAGCCCACACTTTTGATAATTTTTGTCTAGCACCCACAGGGTCACTTTTTATTTTTCTATGATAAAATAGCTTCACTGTGCTTTAAATAATAACAATAATGATGATGATGGTGATGTTGATGATGTAACTGTTTTGTTAAAAATATTAGATTTCTCTTTGGAGCAAATACTTTACCTTAATTCATTTAATTTACATATAGTTACTGAAGGTACCAGAAATGTGAGGGTTTTTTTTTCTGTAATTGTTCTTATTAAAAATGCATGATTATCAAAATCATGAAAGTGGTTCTTGACCATCTATTTAAAAATAGGAAAACTGATGTAGATCAGTGTTTCCATCTATAAATAATGCTCAAATTAGTACTATTCACAATTTTCAAATAGAATGAATTTAACATTTAGAATTATCAAATGTAAAAACTTTTGATTCTACCATATATAATTTTAATTGCTTCCAGTGATATGCTAGATAACTTTATATATCTAAGCCTTATTTTTTGTGGCAGGCTTAGGTGACAGATTCCATCACTTTTATACTCAGTTTATAAACTTGGCATGTAGAATATTTTTTGTAAAAGTTAGTTGTGCAAGAAGAGTGAACCAATTGTTTTAAATCAGAACATTCCTTATTGTGTCTTATTGTGTCTATATGTGTAGACACAAAAGTGCAATAGCATTTTTCTTCTCAGCATGCAGTTTCGCTGAACACATTGATTCTTAGAAAACAAATATCAAAACAAGTTACTAAAATCCAAGAATGGAAGAGAGAGAGAGAGAAAAAAAACTAAAACAGTATAAAAAAGAACATTAGCTCAGCTTGAAAAGTGTAAGGACTAGATAATGACTGCCCCCTGGGCATTGTTTCTTACTGAATGTAACATATTTTCTCACATACAACAAAAACCAACTGATGGAAACTGAGTATACATTGTAGTAATAAATACATTACAAACTATTTCTGCTGCTTACTGGAAAAAGCAAAAATAAAATCTGCATGCTATCCACAAGGAGCAGAAAAATGAGCAGGTTCAGCTTCCAAGGTGCCACTACTCAGTTATTCATGACAAATCAAAATTAGTTTTTCTCTTTCTGTCTTAAAAAAACAAGTTATATATCTTATTCCAGCATGCATTGTATGAGAGAAAATATGGCATTCCCCATTCTCATAGCAAATACCATTTAGTAACTGAAATCAAGGGATGAATGAATGAATCACTTATTTTTCACAACCTCCATCAACATCAGTGCCCAGTTATACCATAGTTCATATACTGAATCCTCTCATACATATGTTTCTTTCAGAACTTTCCAGCTATCCATGTGAAGCAAATGTAAACCTGACAGAGGCATTAGGTCCTGCTTTAATGGCACAAATTAACCTACAGTCAGACATCAGACATCCATTCAGACTCAGTCATTTTTGTTTCTATTTTCTTCAGACTATAGTACCATTAGTTTGTGAATATTTTTATGCCTAATGTACCAGGAATTACTTTAACAGTCTCTACTGCTTCTAAAACTATCATGTGGGCCCTGATAATAGCACATAGCCTTACCCATGGGAATTATAAATAACTAATTAAATAAATGTAAGTTAGTAAATTAATTAATTCATTAATAATTAAGTTTAAGCTGATTTGGAAGTGTTCTAACCTTCTTAGAAATGATCATATATCCAAATGTTATGAGTTCTTACTTCATTCCTTCAAAACATAAATTTTTCATAGAAATAAGCAAAAAGAAAATATTTTGCATTGTTTCTTAATATTATGTTTTTGAGAATCTAATATTGCCATTTGTTTTTTTTTAGTCTCATGCTTCTTTAACTTCACCACACCATCTGGAATTATTCTTTCACCAAACTACCCAGAAGAGTATGGAAACAACATGAATTGTGTGTGGCTGATTATTTCAGAGCCGGGAAGCAGGATTCATCTCATTTTCAATGACTTCGATGTGGAGCCACAGTTTGATTATCTTACAGTGAAGGATGATGGAATTTCAGACTTACCACCGCTTGGCACTTTTTCTGGCAATGAGGTCCCTTCTCAATTGGCAAGCAGTGGGCACATAGTAAGACTTGAATTTCAGTCAGATCACTCTACCACTGGAAGAGGCTTTAATATCACTTACACAAGTAAGCACATGCCTGACTATTTTTATTTGAGTGCAACATTATACAATTTGTTGTTGTTGTTCAAAATAATGTGGAAGTAAATTAAATGGTTTAGTTCAGACAAAGGCACTCAGTTCAAGATGGAGGTTACTTTAAATATGGCTTATAGTGCTTCAATGTACACTTTTTATTTTGTGGATAAATCAGTCTACAAAGTTTGGCAATGTGCTACGTATATATGCTATATAAAATACTACATCTGCTTGAATGTATATAGATTTACCATTGGATATTAACCACATTTTTTTCTATTAGTTTAGTGGAATAATTAATGTTTCTAGAATCTTTTTCATCCCAAAATCCTAAATGATTTTTCATGCAAGTAATTTAGAGTTTTGCAATTGTTTTTTTCGTTAGCTTTTGGTCAGAATGAGTGCCATGATCCTGGTATTCCCATAAATGGAAGGCGTTTTGGAGACAGATTCCTCCTGGGAAGTTCTGTTTCTTTTCATTGTGATGATGGTTTTGTTAAAACCCAAGGATCTGAATCCATAACTTGCATTATGCAGGATGGAAATGTCATATGGAGCTCTACTGTGCCACGTTGTGAAGGTAAGGACATTATCCTTATCTTAAATATACTAGTTCACATAATAAAATTATTTTTATTACATTTTCATGTTTTATTTTAGATTTTTTGGCCTTTTTATTTGGTCGTATCTATTATGTTCATTTATTTTTTTAAAATAAAATAGGAATAGACAGTAATACTATAAGGCAAATAAATCCACTAACATACCTAAGAAGTAGAATAGAATCAGGCCTTTTCTGATAATTTTTATTTGCTTTCTTTTAATTTGTGGTTTACTACATTTCTTATAAGACCTCAATAATAATAACAATAATTATAATGTGCATTTTCATAATATTTAGGAGATATTGGTAGCAAGATAAGATATAAGAGATGTCTTAAACATCTTGTGAGCTTCCTAGTCCTAATTGCTTCATGTAATGGGTTCCCTAGAGCAAGAAAAGCCTACTGAAGCAAAGCTTCTTCATTAACTAAAATTTTCTGATTTTTGAACTCTGTGCACACAATTCATACAGCGTTCAACACAAGGTATATACAAATGTTCATATCTAAGAAGTTTTATGGTTTGTTTCCCCCATAGGAAAACATACTTGGAAAGCACTGTAAAAATATTAGTGGGGCTGAGTGAGTGCTGCACTGATAGCCTGATCTGTCAGTGACTTGCAGCCAGGGGTCCCCTAAGCATACATTTGAGTGTGTTCTGCAGGCTCTCCTGGCTAGCAGAGAGTGCCATGAGCATCCAAGTCAAAGGGCAGCAGTGATTGGCTGGCTGGCCCAGGGGACCACATCCTCCTGGGGAACTCCTGCTCATAATTCTCCTGTGGTGAGGCTTCAAGAGAAGACACCCAGAGTATGTTTCCTCTTTTGCTAGTTGCAGACATATCAATTTCTATTCCACCAGCTTGCAATGGATTATCAGTGGTCTGGGTCTGAGAGTATGTGGGGTCCTGGAGGTTTGGGTCTTCTGAGCCTTGGTCTTGGGGATATGAGGGCCTGGTCACTTGTGAGAAACACAATTTCCCTGGAATCCTCCATCTCTGCAGCCTTAAGAGTACAGCACAAGGCTGGAGAAACAACTAGGCTCTTCTGTGACTGAGGCAGTCAGGGAAAAGAATTTATTCCATGCTTGGTTGAAACAGGAGAGTCTAGCATGTGTCATAGACCGTCTCCCTGAAGGAGATTGGAGCAATACATGCTTGGATGCTGGAAGACAGTGCTGCAACTTCTATTGGAAGGGGAAGTATACATGCATTTATTCTCCTGGGAGAACCTCTCCTGAAAGCCACCTCTATCTGGTTGGAGTTGGGTTAATTTTCTCTTGGAACCATTTGTAGTTTGGGAAAAACTATAAACATTTGTACTCCTAGGGCGTATCCACATGAGTGCGTATGTGCATCTTACAGCACCTCAGAGCCCTTTGAGATACTGCAAGAGGCACATGTGGGAATGAAAAAAATATTCCCTGAACTGCAAGTTTGCAGTATAGTGGCAAAATTAGACCCCTGGATATCCAGCGATAAAAAAAAACAACAAACTACTCTGCAGAACAGCGGGGCAAGTCAGTCCTCCAGGAGAGATGCTCTAGTTTCTGGCCAGAGTGTCTCTGTGGTGCTTCTGCTGCCCCTGGCACTGTGAAGGGTAAGTTAGGGGTCTGGGTGGGCGTGGGTGAGTGTGAAGAGTGGCAGGGAAATGTCAGGGGGTGTCAGGAGTGGAGGGGGTTGTCGGGGGCTATGGGGAGTGGCAGGGGGATATCGGGGAGTGGTAGGAGTGAAGGAGGATGTCAGGGGCTATGGTGAGTGGAGGGGGAATTGGCGGGGTGTGGGGAGTAGAGGTGAGGATGTTCCAGTGGGTGGGTACACGAAGGGACTCGAGTGTAGGCTGCCACATGCCTGCCCCCCCACCCCCAGCCTCCCGTGGCACTAGCAGCAGCAGGCCGCATGCCTGTGGCTCTGCTGCAGGCACAGCGGGCAGTGATGCAGTGCTGTGTGACCCAGGATCTATACATGCTGAATGGACCCGGCCTGGCCCACTACCGCATGACCTCAAACGGGCCGGGCTGGGCCCATTTAGCATCTATGGAGCCCAGATCACATAGTGCCATGTCTCTGCCTGTTGTACCTGCAACAGAGCCACAGCCCTGTTTGCTTGTTGCTTCCAGTGCCACGGCCACTGGGTGAGGGAGCAGGCATGTGGCAGTCCCAGAGCCATCCCTATGGGTGTACAGGGCCCAGGGCATATCCAGCCTGTGTGGGATCAGGGGGTGGTGAGCAGGGAGAAGGGGGTGGCAAGTGACCAGAGTGCAGAGCTGGTGGTATGTGGCGGGACCTGATCTGGCACCTGGCATGACTTTCTAGTCCGCCTTTGCACTGGAGCAGGATGCATGGCTCTGGGAGGTGTGGCTCCTGTGCAAATGCACACTAGCTGCACAGCCCAAGCCCCGCAACCCAACCCAACCCAATCTGGCCCAGGCCCTACAACTAGTGTGCATTTGCACAGGAGCTGCACCTCCCAGAGCTGCATGTCCCACTCCATTGCAAAGCCAGACTAGCATCTGTGCCGGGCTGGGTCCCGCCGTGCCCCACCTCCCTGCAGGCACCGCAGGGAAAGCAGCATTACCATCAGAGGCAGGACCTGGCACAGTGAGCAGGACAGCCCTCTGAGTTAAGCCAGATCCTGCTGGCACTGGAGCCACTCACGCTGCCAGGTTGGGCCAGTTTCATGGCGGCAGGACCTGGTGTGGTTCGATGCTGTGTCCCTGCACACGGCACCAGGTCCTGCCACCATGAACCTGGCATGGCCTGGCAGTGCGAGTGGCCCCAGTGCTGGCAGGACCCAGCTTGGCATGACACATGGTCCCCACAAGTGGCACTGACCCCCAATGAGCAGCATAGGCAGCACCAGATCTGAGCTGCTTGGGGCCACTCTGCGCCATAGTGGGGCTGGTAGCAGCCTGCTCAGAGTGCCTTACTCCTGCTGCTGCTGTAGAGTGTAAGTTGTGGGTCCTGCATGGGTGCAGAGGCAAAAAGAGGGGAAGGGATGGGGGAGTGGCTGGGGTACAGGGTTTCCCAGGGCAGGGCTAACCAGCAGGGAGCCCACTAACTGATGCACCGTGTTAGCCAGCTGGGCAGTGGCACATGGATATGGAGGACCAGCCAACCTAGGGCTGCCTGCTGCCCCCCCTCCCCTTGAGGTACACTGTGCCCCAGCCAGCCAGGGAGAGGCTGGCTGGGGTGCAGGATGTCTCAATGCAGGGGTTCCACAGTGTGTGGAGAAGTGGGAGTGTTTCTCCATGTTTCTCCTGGCAGGAGAAATTATCAATTTGTAATACCATAATCATTTTTGTATATTCAAGTGTGTATATTTGTCCTATGTATGTTTTCTGTTACATATATATATGCATGTGCTTTTATTTTCCAGCACCATGTGGTGGACATCTGACAGCATCAAATGGAGTTATCTTGCCTCCAGGGTGGCCAGGTTATTACAAGGACTCTCTAAATTGTGAATGGGTGATTGAAGCAAGACCAGGACATTCCATTAAGATCACATTTGACAGGTGAGGACCACAACAAAGACCAAAAACAAAGCCCACCACTACACAAATGCACAAGAACATTAAGTATAAATATGTTCTGATTTTTTTTTAATGCATGGAAGGGAAAAATAGGCTTAAAAAATCAAAATAATAGAAACAAACCATTGACTTTCATTCGATTCCATCCCATTACTGAATCCCCATTCACATTCTCTTAGCTCTGCATTGTAATAAAAAAAAAATTCAGATCTTCAGCTCTGTTTACATTACATTTAATTACAGTTAGCAAAATAGGGGCTACTCTGTGCCATTAAATACCAACATTACATTAAAGCAAGAGAGATTTTATTCAGAATTTTGGTTACTTTTAATATTCAAGTGCAACACAATGTATTGACTCACTAGCTAAAAGAACTAACACTTCTGTGAGCAAAGGACTCTAAAACCCATCCCTTTCCTTGCACTAAAGACCCAGCTTTGACTTCATTATGAATTTGCTAGTACTTGATTGTACTACAACACTTCAGTGTATGCTAGAAAAGGCAATTCATGCCTGACAGCAGTATCATTAATGCAGACCACATCCTAAACCAGAAACAGCGTAGCAATATTTATGCATTGCTATCAGTAAGCTGAGTGACAGTGCTAATTTGCCCATTCTTTCCATATCCTCTGATATAAGATTGCACACCAAAAGTCCATACCATGCTAAACATTCATTGAGATAATAGATTTTTTTTTTTAGATTCATGTCCAGACCTTCAGCTGGTATAAATTGGCCTAGTTCCACCATCAGTTAATTGGTATAAGTCAATGTAGTTGCACAAACATTAGTAACTTACACCAGTTAAAGATCTAGTTCCTATCATGTTTAATATTTTTGACATTTTACCTGTGTAAGAATTCAGTTCCTGTAAGATAGCATCTTTTTGAGAAATTGCTGTTAGATAATAGATTTTTTTTTTAGATTCATGTCCAGATCCTCAGCTGGTATAAATTGGCCTAGTTCCACCATCAGTTAATTGGTATAAGTCAATGTAGTTGCACAAACATTAGTAACTTACACCAGTTAAAGATCTAGTTCCTATCATGTTTAGTATTTTTGACATTTTACCTGTGTAAGAATTCAGTTCCTGTAAGACAGTATCTTTTTGAGAAATTGCTGTTAACAGCAATTTGATCAGATGTGAGATTTAGTCTTGAGTGCTGCACTAGTAAGCTTCCTAATCCTAATTGGACCATGTAATGCGTTGCTGGTGGAGCAGGCTTTTTTTGCCTACAGCAAGAGAAAAAAGCTTTACTTTTGCTATGGAAAAAAAACTGGAATGTGTATCCCAAGCAAGGAAGAAAAAAATAATTGTAAGATCTGTAGATCTACATGGATGAATAACCCCATTCAAATGAATGCAAGTAGTCAGCAAAGACTCTACAAGATATGGATGAAAATATTCTTCATTAAAAAAGGCTATGATTTAGATATCAGAAATCATAGAAATAAAGTAAGATTTCTGAAACAAAAGTTGCCTCTCTCTGTATTAAACCTTGTAAGTAAGTTAAAGTGAAAGGTTCTTCAGCCACATAACTAAAAAGAGAAAACCAGAAAGAAATATTTGTTTTTTTATATGTAGTGAGAGTGGGTAGGTATGTTTCAATAGCTAAAATAAAATTATTTGTATCAATTTTCAGTAATGATGCTGGGGGCAAAGGCAGGACATCTAATGGGAATAAGGACCTAGAAATGGAAATCACCACATACCAGTCAGAATCAAACTCAAATATCAAAATGATCTCAGGCCTAGGGGACTAGATCATCTCCATCATATAATTCTGTAATAAGAGGTCTCTGACTATGGATTTTTAATTACTATATCCAGTTAAGGTAGAAAATGGACAATAGTTAATATTCTATTCATTTTAGAAAAGGAAATATCCATTAGATATCTATTTTAGAAAGGGAAAACAGATGGATGCAGGAAGCCACAGGCCTATTAGTCTGACCTCAAGACATTGAAGGAAAGAATACATGGAGGTAAATGAAAAATTGGATAAAATGCCACATGGGTTTACCGAAGGTAAATTGTACCATGCAGGTAGGATTGTATAACCTTGAGGACTGGAATACTAGAAAAGGAAATGAAATTTAATAGTATAAAATGCAAAGGCATTTATTTAGGGACTAAATTTCTGCCATAAACTGGAAACCTATTAGTTGTAAATGACAGAAGATTAAAAAAACCTGGGCATGCTAGCTGATCACAAGATGACTAGCTACTGCCAAACTCATGAAGTTGTGTATAAGGATAATATTATCCTAGCCTGTATCAAGGAAGGTATTTCCAGTACAATTAGAGAAACATAGCTGTCATTGTACAAGGGACAGATGAATACTGTTTACAGTTTTCATAGTTTCATAGTTGGTAGGGTTGGGAGGGACCTGAGCAGATCAAGTCCGACCCCCTGTCATGGCAGGAAAAAGTACTGGAGTCAAACGACCCCAACAAGGTATTCATCTAGCCTCCTCTTAAAGACCCCAGGGTAGGAGCCAGCACCACTTCTCTTGGAAGTTGGTTCCAGATCCTAGCTGCCCTGACTGTGAAGTAGTGCCTCCTGATGTCTAGTCTGAATCTACCCTCTGCCAGCTTGTGACTGTTATTTCTAGTCACTCCTGGTAGTGCTCGGGGGAACAGGGACTCCCCCAGTGCCTGCTGGTCCCCTTTGACTAGTTTGTAAATGCCACTAGATTCCCCCATCAGCCTCCTCTTGTGGAGGCTGAACAGGTTCAGGTCCCTTAGCCTCTCCTCATAGGTCCTACCCTCCACCTCCCTGATCATGTGAGTGGCCCTCCTCTGGACCCCCTCCATGTTGTCCACATCCCTCCTGAAGTGCAGCACCCAGAACTCCAACTGCAGCCAGTACTCCAACTGCAGCCTGAGCAGTGTCGCATAGAGGGGGAGGATCACCTCCTTGGACCTGCTCGAGATGCATCTGTGGATGCATGACAAGTTGTGGTTGGCCTTCCTGACCACTTCCCTATACTGTCAGCCCATGTTCACTTTGGCATCAATAATGACTCCAAGATTCTTTTCTGGCTCTGCACTGACGAGAAGGGAGTTCCCCAGCGTGTAGGTATGCTGCTGGTTCTTCCTCCCCAGGTGCAGCACCTTGCACTTGTCAGTGTTGAAACCCATCCTATTCTCATCCACCCACCCCTGTAACCTGTCTAGGTCCAATTGCAGCCTATTCCTCCCTTCTAGCATGCCCACTCCCCCCACAAGTTTTGATCACTCTTGTTCAAGATGATGAATTCAAAGTAGAACAAGATCAAAGAGGACTATAAGGATGATCAAGAGCATGATGAGCTGATGCTGTGTGTAGAGCAGTGGTTCTCAATCTTTTTAAAGTGAAAGCACTTCTCACAAAATGCCAGGTCTTTGTTTTCACTCTTTTCTGACTACAAAAAACTCAAAGCAGTTTTTCTGTTCTAAAGAATTCAGAAAGACCACAACAATGGATTTATGTTTGAAATACCTAAATCTATCTTGTGAAATATGTTTGGAAACCTACCAGTGCTAACATTGGTTACATCTACATAATACGCTTTATGGCACAGTAGACTAATTTGCTACACAATGAGCGCATCTACATGAGACGCTACGTTGCCATAGTGATGAGCTAAAGTGATATAGCATCAGTGGGCACAAGCTGTGATGCCAATGCTATGTTGCCATAGCAATGAGCTATGTCACTGTAACTCATTGCTACAGCAACATAGCATCTAAAAATAACTGTGCAACTGAGACTGCACAGTTCTGTGGGTAAAGCAAGTACTAAATGACTGTTCAGTATCAAATGCACAGTCAGGGGCACATGTAGATGCATCCACTAAAGTGTCACCATCTACACATGTGTGGCAATTAGGGCACAGTAGACTAATTTACTGCACTGCTAGATAGTCCCATTAGATACAAGTGGTATCCAGCAGCACGGTAAGTTACTGCGCTTAAATGCGCATGTAGACAGTGATGTTGGGAATAGTTTACTCTGGCTCAAATTAAGCTGAAGTATATCCAATTGTTTTAATTACACATGTAAATGTGGCCATTTTGTCACACCCTGTGGCACACTTGAAGGGATCTCAAAGTATCTCTGGGTGCAATGGCACCCTGGTTGAGAAATAGCAGGGTAGAGTAAAAGAGTTTTGCATATTTAGCCTAAGAAAGCAAAGGCTGAGAGGGATTTGATCTATGATCTCTGTAAATTCATGAAAAGGTAAACACAAGGCAGGAAGATGAACTATTTAGTCAAAGGGACACTTGTGACACAAGATAAAATGGGTGTTAACTGACCATGAATATATTAAGGCTGGAAATAATGAGAAAGTCTTTAACTACTAGAGGAGTGAGATTCTGGAACAGTTTTACAGTGGAACTACTGGAGGCAGAACTCCTAACAATTATTAGATAGAGCGTGGTCCATTTGTGGAAGACATTATCTAAAGACAGTCTCAGCAAACTGGACTTGATAATCCAGGAGCTTCTTTCCATTCATGTTCATAAGCAGGTTACTGTAGTGAAAGTTTTCTGGCCAAGTGGTACAACGTTTGAGTAAACGCTTGTACTTCTTAAAAGAATCTAGACAACATATTACATTTGTAAATTGTTGCATGGGCTCAGTCCTTAACATTGGTGTCTAATAAGGCAAACAGAAAAGTATTAATCTTATAAATTAATGAAATTAAGAAAAAGAGGGTATTCAATGCTGCTGCATATCTTGCAATTCATAAATTATATTACTGAAATAACATTTTCTAACCCTGCTGATTATGAGAGTAGTCTTAACTATGTAAATCATTGCTGTGGTTTTGGTATTTGGTTAAATGCCTTGAAACAATTTAAAAGGAACAGAAAATAACTGGACATCCCTAACTACTTCCTTATACTGAAACAGCTTTTAGTGCTAATCTTCTCACACACTTCTACCATGGCAATGAAAAGATGAAAACCCATTGGTTAGTTTATTATGATTATTCATATCATAACAGAAGGGGCTATAAGTGTAACTTTTGACTGGAAGATTTTCACTTTATGGATAGTAATCAAAACAAAACATCATTTTTCAACACCTAAAATCATTTAAAATAAGCAACACCAAAGTAGGAGTCCAAGGGCCTTGCTACATGTTAATTTTAGGTGACTTCTGGAGTTCTTAATCCCTGGATTATCCACACATTAACCTGTGTAACTAATTTAAGCACCCTTTAGGTAGTTTAAAGTTATGCTACTCCAGGCTAGGTTTAGCTCTGAGCTGTGTTACCCAGCTTGTATTACATTGGACACATCTACACATGCCCCTACAGCATCATTGCTACTGCACTGTCATTTACTACTTCCTTTAGTAAGTACTAAACTATGGTGCAGTAACAGCTGTTACTGTGCTGTGCTGGTGGTGCATGGTTTTTTTTTAGCTGCTACATCTATGTAGTGATGCACTATAGCAACGAGGCATGTCACTACGGCAACATAGTTCTGGTGTCACAGTCTGTGCCTGCCAACACTACATTGCTGTAGTACATTGCTACAGCCATGTAGTGTCTCATGTAAATGCGCCCACTAACCTGTAGCCACTCTAGGCTATGTGTAAGTGTAAACAGTCAACACTCCCCCCTCCCACTGGCCTGGACTGGGCCAACTGCCCTCCCCCACCATGTTCTCCCTCCCAATCAAGTGACTATCCACCATTGGGCCTCCCTCCCAGCAGCCCAAACTGGGCCCCCTACCCCTGCCCCCTACCAGCCCAGATTGACCAGCTGCTCCACCGCCCCCCCCCCCCACCTCCCTGGATTGGGCCCAATGTTTCCTGCCCCTACCAGTACCCCAGATCCTTGCTTATCCATATCTGCCCTTCTGGTTTACTTTTAGCTGCCAGCACTGTCCCCAGAGAACAGGCAGGGAAGGGCAACCTGCCTGCCCGGCCCCTGCCACTGCAGTCACTGCCACCAGTGCCCCTTTCTGGGATTCTCCAAACTCAAACTAGCACCAACACCAGTCAACATTTGAGCAGCTCAAAGTACAATGTATAACACAACCCTAAGTAAGGGCAGACTTTTAGAGTATTGAACGGCCATTAACTTACCTTGGAATTCAGGAGAATAGAGAGACACAGTTCTAAAATTAAGTACAAGTTTGGGGATGTGTTGCTCATTTGGTTGGTTAGTTTGTGTAGGTTGCTAAAAGAAAGATGACAATGAAGAAGAAAAGAAAACATGGAATTATAAGAGATTATTAATTATGACCTAATTATCTTTAGGTTTCTCTTGGTATGGAGGGAAGTTGCTTGTTAATGGACATATATGCTATTTGGTTTTGAAAATGTAATGGTCTGGTTTGGAATTTGTTGGGGTGGGGAGTGTTGTATGACCATTACATCAAAAACATAATGGTCTTTCTCATTTTAATAGAAAACTCCAAGGTATTTCATGACTGTTTGTCATACAATCTTGCAAGTCATGTAATAACAAGGATGCCATTTCTTTCCCCCTGAGCCATAAAATATGTTGGCAAACTAGCTGAAGGATATTTACTTAAAACATTATGTTCCTTTGCACAGGGATGCTGGTTTCTTGCTCCCAGTGATTGAACTAACCAACTGTATAAGGGGACTATATTAAGTCTCTGTAATAGTACATACCCTTTTCATACTTGTTCACAACAGATAAGGAACATATGGAAGGCAAGAAATATGTATTTAACCAAATGCTTTCAAATTCTGGTAGATGCCTTTTTAAAAGAAACTATATTGACATGAAAACCTATGTACAAGGTTCAGATGTCAGTCAAGTTCAAGCTGGCAAAAGGGCATATCTGAGCTTATTTGTTATAGGAATGACAAGTGTAGAATAACTGCATGCTTTACTAACCTTCATGAATCTGAATTTCTTTAAACTGAGATTGCACTGTGGTCTACTGAATGTCACTGCCCTAAGGCATATGTGGATTGTATCAGCCATCTGAAACAACTCACTTTACATCTCTAGAGCTCCTTTTTCTTTGTATTTCTTCAGTCCATCTAATCTATTTAGATAATCTATTTGTGTTGGGGATTGCCACTAAACTATATTTGTAGAAAACCTAACAGAATAAGGACTTGATCAGCTGGAAACTTTGCATACTGCTGTAATGTAAATAATTATAAAAAAGCAGTAAATGAAGGGTGCACATAAGCATTGCTTTTCTACTATTGGGAACATAGTTCATTTGGTAAAAATCCTGCTGGACTAAAAATGGTACACACAGTTGACAAATCTACTGCATCCAATCAGGCATTGTTTCTATCTATTCAACACTTACTAAAAAACCATAACTTTTGGGGGAAGATTAGAATACAAAAATATACTTTTAAGGATATGAAACAGTCCTTTAGCAGTTCTTTGAGTTTCATATAACTTCAAATGTTAGTATTTCTTAGGCTCTCCCTTGTCCAGTTTCCTAAAGGAAACTTCATAGGGTTTCTATCAAGATGCATCCAATAAATCTTTTTAAGTTCAAGCACATAGTTAATTTAACATTGAAACTTCTTTCTTAACTAAACTGAAGATGGCTGAAGATCAAACAAAACAAAGCAAAACAAAATAAAATAGAAGATTGCTTATTTGTTTAAAAAGTCTGTAGTTTTCATTGTTTATTCTGATATATTCTACAGGTATTATGAAGTACATAATAGCTGAAATGTTTCTTCAGGCACAACTATATTGGAGTTTCAAAGTTTCCATAAAGTTGCACTGTTTCTCTGTTTACCAGTTAATTTGATTTGTTCCTTTTCAGATTTCAAACTGAAGTTAATTATGATACCCTAGAAGTCAGAGATGGGCCAGCAAACTCATCACCACTAATTGGAGAATATCATGGTACACAGGCACCACAGTTCCTTATTAGTACAGGCAACTACATGTATCTGCTGTTCACTACAGACAATAGTCGTTCCAGTGTTGGCTTCTTAATTCACTATGAGAGTAAGTAATATTTATCTGATGGATTTCTGTTTAACTATTTAACTAGTTAAATAGTTAATAGTAAATCATTTAAATAGTGAAAATGACAAGTAGATTCCAAGAAATGTATTTGCCTAACACCATGCAATGTCTTTCTCATACCTTAATTAGGGACAGAGTCTGAAACTGTTCCTCATATTGAAAAAAATATCTCCAGGGCTTGTTCCGTGTTAAAGGAATAGGAGACCAGTCAAGACAAATAAGTGTGTTAAAATGTGGCTTTTGAACAGTAAAATCTTTAGGACAGAGTTCTTTTTTTTTTTTTTTTATGGGTCTGCTAGTTAGGCATAGTTCTTAGTAAAATTTCCCTTAATCCTTAATTATGTCTTAAGGGCTAAGTACAGGCAGTCAGAAAGCCCAAGGCTGAAATGATTCAATCTTCATAGATTAGTTGAAGCTGTGTAGATTGAATCGATAAGCAAGTGAACAGACATTCACTTTTGATTCAGGAAAATGCAGCCACATACCTGCAGTGACCCATGCCAGAAGATGGGAGGTGCTAGAGCAGTGGTCAACAACCAGTGGATCTTGATCCACCGGTAGATCTTGGAGCTTCTTGGAGTTGATCTGAGGCTGGGGTTGGGGGCTGAGTGCTCACATGTATGCATGCATGTACCCCAGTCCAGCAGGTCAGCCTGTGGGGGAGAGAAGGGGCGGGGGCTAGATTGAGGCCCCCACTGTGAGGGACAGTGCTGTAGAGGCAGGAGCAGGGGTAAGTTGAGTGGGGTCCTGGCTGGGTGGGACTTACCTGCTGGGGAGGCATGTCCCCAAATATTTTTTTTTCTCCCTCTGCCTTGATCTGCCCCCCCCCCCCATCCCTCCCCACAAACTTACCTGAGGGGCAGGGATGGAGGGTATGGCAACAGTGCATGGTAGATCTTGGGTTGCTTTTAAATGCCAAAGTTGATCCACTTCAAAAGTTTGGAGACCTCTGTGCTAGAACATGCCTCCCTGCTCAGCTGGAGCAGACAGCTTGGACCAAAGCTAACCTGCCCACCCTGTGGGGCGGTGCAGGGGGGTGTTGTGGGGGAGTTGCAAAACATCCTGGGATATTGGGAGACTGTGAGTTAACTAGAATCTGGAGGGGATCTGGGACAGAAACTGATTTAACTTAAATCAGTGAAGTCTGATACTACATCCATCCAGGTTTATCTTAGTGTAACTGAGAAGGGAAAGTTGGGGCGGGAAACCTGGGCACCACATTTCTGTGTGTCGGGGGAGCAGGGAGCAGCACAAAAATAGCCTCCATCACAGTGGTGCTTGCACCACCATGATCAGCAGTCGGGGCTTACCCTATGTATTGTGGTTGTTCTGCTACACTCTGTTGCCTGAGTAGTGAAAAGTTGTATACTAGACAATGAGCAATGAAATAATCTAAGATGACCTCTAGTATGAAGAGCTTGGCTAGTGGGCATAAAGGAACTGAGAGTAGGCTGTTGTGAAAAGCAGATTTGAAGAGTTCCCGCAGTCTGGAAAGCCTTTGAACTCCAGAGGCTGACTTGCCAAAAACTGTGTTTCTGAACCAAGTTATCTACAGAACAGTTTTTAAAGAAATCCTAGCATCAACATGAACCTGCCTTCTGTAAAGTAAAATACTCATTATTTGTTTCTCTTAGAACAGCTTCTGAAAATCAGTTAAATCTTAATGGTTTCCACAAGTTGGTAGTCTGTTAATCAGGAAAGAAAAGCAAAAACTTGAGCTAGACTTGAGCTTTCTTTCCCCTCCTCCCCCCAGTGCTTCTCTACAACATATATCTGACTATATGTGAAACATCTCTGTTAAACTTAAGACAAGGGTTATATTTCTAATCTAACATTTTAATATTCTCAGATATAGGTGATTATTTGATTCCTGTCCCCACCACTCTCCTCCCTACAGGGGGTTCAGTGTGGCAGCAGTGCTAGAAGCTCTTACAACTTCCTAAGATGGTTTCAATGACTGATACATTTCTTGGTAATAACCAAATGCTGTAGCTAATGAAAAAAATTAGCAATCCCAATAAAAAATGAATAAGTCTATAATAGATCTGAGTAGGGAGGGGAGGAGAAACAGATATGTTTAATGAGCTTTATCCTGTGACTTACGTTAAGGGACAGATCCTACTACATATGCATTCGGTGGATAGGTGTGATCCTATTCCACCCTGTTTTGTGTTGCTGAAAAACCATCGGTGTAAAAGACGGGGAATACTCCCCCCCCCCCCCCCCCATTAAAAAAAACCCAACTTTATTTATTTATTTATTTTTATTTTATTGTGAGCTAGCCTTAAGGGTTAGATGATAGTGGTTTATAAAAGTAGATCAACTGATGGCTTTTCATAGAATCATAGAAGTAGGGTCAGAAGGGACCTTGTAGATCTTCAGGTCTGACCCCCAATTGATGATTGCTACTGCCATTTTCAAAAGATAATTGTTAGATCTTTCTTCACTGTAGCTTTTATAGGTTTTACACTGGTGGATAGGCATGATGTCAATGTTACTTTTCTTAATGTATCTCAATGCTTTAAGTAAAATCAGAATCAAGCCCATTATGTGTAGTTTCCGGTCCAAAATCACAAACACGGAACATACTGGGTTAGATTGTGTTCCAGTTTTTAGATGCCTAAGTGAATCCTATTTTATTCTGCTCTTGTCATGAAAAAAACATCAATGCAAAGGTGAGAGAGTCCTCCACAGCTTTTTTGTGATTCAAAAACATATGAATGAATAGATTGTTAGGGAGTTGAACAGGGTGGGATAGAATTATGCTTATGCAGAATGGAATAATCCCCAGTAACAGGTTTTCAGGTACCTGAGCAGGATGGAATGGGAGAGCACTTACACAAGGAGTGGAATAGAATCAAGCCTCTGAGATGCTAATCCTAGTGTGATAACCATAGCAGCTTTTACGTTCTGTCAGATTTAGATTTCCATTTTCAGTTTGAAAAAGTCTATGCCATAGGATATGTCCAGGGCATTGGATACACATTGAAGAAAGAGGCCTCATACTTGAGTCTCACTCTGTAGGATGACAATCTGTAGGCAGAAATATAGTTTGTTAGCCAAAGAACTGAAGTTGGTGGCTCAGCAGCAAATCTGAGAGATAAAATATGGGTTTAGGGCCAGGTTCAGATCCTCACAGCCAGGCCTTTTTACATAGCTGCCCATGGTTAGGGCTAGCTGAGGTATGTATGTAAGGAATGGAACAAGGGAAGCACTATGTAGAGAAGTAGAATACATGGCAAACAGTAATGTGTTTGTTAACTATATATATATAGCAGGGTAACTATATATATGTAGCAGGCTTGCCTTTTGGAGCTTGGGTTGAGTTCCAGGCTTGAAATCTTGCTGTTTTGATTGGTGGAGCTCATCCCCCAATCAGGAGGCAGCCAGAGGAGTTCAGTCACGCCCCTTTCCTGAGAGGAGGGGGAGAGAAGTTCCTCCCCCCCCCCACCCCCTGTGGACCTGATTGAAGATTGCAACACTCAGGTCTGGAGGACTTCAGGTGCAGAGCTCTGGAGCATATAAAAGGAGCTGCATGCCCAGCATAGGGGAAGCACATCCGGGAAAGAGAGAAGAGTGGGGCTTAGAAGAGCTGAGGAGAGCTGCTCAGCAGGGCAAAGCAGTAGCCCAGAAGTGCCCCTGAAGACTTCCATCAGCAGGGAATGGCAGACAGCACCAGCAGCTAGGCTCTCGGTGTGCAGCATGGCACATGGCATCCAGACACTGGGAGCTGCGTGAGGCAGCTCAGGTCAGCAACCTGTGGTGTGTGGCCAGAGACACGGTGCACAAGCCAGTGCATGGAGTAGGACCTTTGGAGCACTTGGGTGGCTCAGGTCCTCAACCCCCGAAACGAGGCTGGGAGCTTGGTGCAGGAGGTGCTGCATGGAGGGTCCAGGAGTGGACCAAGCCTGATGCTGCATGATTCATAGATTCATAGATTCATAGATGCTAGGGTCGGAAGGAACCTCAATAGATCATCGAGTCCGACCCCCTGCATAGGCAGGAAAGAGTTCTGGGTCTAGATGACCCCAGCTAGATGCCTATCTA